AATCATTTAACCCAATTCGATTTTAAAATAACTTATCAGCTCGAGTTGCTTCGAGTTATATCTGTCGTTAACTCAGAGTTAAATAAAATCAAATCTGAATGCCTAAACAATAGAAACCAAATTAATACGTCATGTACAACCTTTCCAGCGTCTCCTCTGAAAGTTTATGCATATTTCAGGATTTTTTTTTTGTAATAGTAATGAAAAGTTGTTTGTTTTGCGACAAAGTAGTTTATAATCCAAAGTGTGATTTTTCATTCATGTTCAGAATCTCTAAGTCGAGAGTTAAATCCTGAAGTCGTGCTTTGAAATAAGGGCTAAAATTTTTGTTTTTCAGTTTGCAAACAACATTTTCTGTTACTTGCTGAAATTTTTTTGTTTTTAAAATTAGAAAAGTTAAATATTTCATTCTCATGCTGAGGGTAACCATAAAAATCGCACACTTTCATATCAGCGTAGACCGTCATGAATATTTAAAATTTTTACTTAAAATTCATGGTAATGGACCACAGCTTGCATACATATTCCTCACATGGGCTCTTCATCTACTTCATTCTTGAAATTTATTAAGTTTCCGTATTTTAATTTAAAAAAGGAGACAGTAAAATTTAATGTTAGATTTTTAAGTGATTTAGAATTAAATCCCTGTTTTTTTAATGAAATAATAAAAACGCCAAACATTCTTACAAATGCAATTTAACATTAAATAACTAAATTGGGTTATTTTTCCTCATCAAAGCTCAAATGATTTAACTGTTTTAATTACAACACATAAGCCGCACTGATATGGTTCAACACGTTATTTATTAAGTAAACAGTGGATGTAAAATATTTCGTGTAAAATAAAACAGAGGTAATTTTTAAGACAAATTAATATTATTCACTCTTTACCTAACTTCATCTTTTATGCATGTTACCCTTGTCTACTAAATGCCAGTCTCAAGATTGTCTGATTTATTGGTTATTAGGGTAACATTTTCCCAAATTCGGACGGCTTTAGGGTGTAGATTGTCTATTATTATGTAAAAGTTTATTTTATTTGTATAAGCGCATTCTAGAAATTTTTAATAAAAATGTTTATTTATTGTTTGGGTTGAAATTTTTAACATGAAAATGTCATTAATGCAATTATTTTCACAACTTTAAAAAAAAACAACAGTGCAAGAAAAAATTAATAAAGTTTTGCTTGACTTAATGAAATTATTTTAGTCTGTTTCCACAACTTAAAAAAAAAACAACATTGCAATAAAAATTTAATAAAGTTTTGCTTGACTTAGCATAACATAATAAATAATAACAAATAATCAGAACAGGCGTAAAAACACAACATTTTAGTGTTATTGGAATTAAAAAAAATTAATTTCAGTTTTCAAGCAGAAAAGCAAACGTAATGTACTTTATTAGAAACAGGTTGGCTCTTATCACCTCTGAAAAAAAAGTTTATAAAGATTTACACTTCAGAATTGTGTCAAGTCACTCGAATTAAATATAAAATTAAATCTAATGTTAATTGTGTCATAAAAAATTTTTTCAGTGCAAAAAAATGAATGACATTTCAGTGTACAGTATGAAAAATATGGAAAAACTGATTTTCAATTAAAAATTGTTAGTTAAAAAGTATTAAAAATACAAACTTGTAATTTTCGTATTTTGTAGAAAAAATACTGTGGTTTTTAAAAATGTGGGAAAGTTTTTTCTTTGTCTGTTTTAGTTTTTTAAGTTTTAGTAATAATTCATTTTGGGGAGTTTTTGACTACAAGTCGTCGTTTATTAACACCAACAAAGGGACAAAATCTTGTGCATTTACAAGATTAAACTGAATTTTGTTCAAGTGCCTCTTTGTGGTGGATTTCTGGTGCCAAGTGGAATTGTAAAATCATTTACGAGTAATGGGAATTAAACCCAACATCTTAGAACGTGATAATGAACTGTGATAGTGCATTATGACGTTTAATAGTTGCAGAGAAACAAAGCAAATTGCACTGAATGCTCCACTCGCTTTCATTCAGAAATAGGTTCAAACATATTTTATGTATTGTTACCAGAAAAACTTAATTATTTTTAATGGCTTGTGAAAATTTGAACTTTTGTCGAGAAGTGTTTTATAATAATTGTAAAAAAATTTCCTTTTCATAAATTTTCATAGAAATTTACTACTTCAAAAGTTGTTGTTTTCATACCCTCTTAGATGGGTATTTATTTAAAAAAAATCAGTTTCAAAGCTTTATTTTTATTTAAACTAAAAAAAAAATCAAGCAGTAATTACATAAAAATAAAAACATGAAAAGCTTTTCTTTAGGTGTTACTATAAAGGATATGGTAATAATTAAGAAGATATAATAGTATTAATAACAATATAATTTATATTCTTTTAAAAGATTGAAGAATTTGTTTTTTTTTAATATGTTAGTTTTAAGTAGTATTAATTTTCTAGAAAAAATAATATAAAACTTGTCTGAATTACAATACATATAAATTTTGTTACAGTAGAACCTCGATAATCCGAGTTTAAAATAATCTTAGCTACCATTTATTTCATTGTTTTTTGATCAATTTGCAAACAAATTTTTACATAAAAGTGCGGACTTGTCAAAATAATGCATGCATTTATCTTGTCTTTGTGTTTTGCAGTTTTTTTGCTTACTTCAATTACATAACTTTTGCTCTGACCTTATTTATTTTTACTTTAACTTCAACAATTTGAAAAAATAAATGATTATTTATCTGCAAATTATCTAAAGATTCATAAATTACTAACTAATTACAAAAAAAAACAAAATGATATGGTTAAAATTGTTCTAAATTTTGCACTGATTTTACATAAAAAACCAATCTGTCAAATTATGTACTTTTGAAATTTTTGAAATTGAAATTTTGTACATTTTGGTGATAGTTTAGCACTATAACTATAAACAAATGATCTTTTGTTTGAAAATTTGGATTCTTTTTTCAACCATTTTGAATTTTTGTTTTGCACTAATTGTGTAGAAAGAATCAGTCTGTCGAATTATGGATTTTTGAATTTTTTTTTTGAAAGATTTGGAAACCCCCTAAAAATGACTCGAATCGGTGTTTTTGAATAAAAAAATTGAGCAAAAAACAAATTTTAGTACACAATACTTAGTGTAAATCTTCCAAAAATGTCAAATTTTGACAGTTTGGACATTTGACAGTAAAGAAAATTAATTAACGTTTATTCTTCAAATTATTATTTTTTATATTGGCGATAAAATCAAAGAAGCCGATTTTTAAAGCAAAAATATTAATTATTTTTATTTTTCTTGTCGAAAAATCTAAGACGTGTTCTGATTGGTTGATTTTAAAAGACGTAATTGATTGGCTAAGCATCGAGCAATCACACTCAACTTTAACGCATTAAATAATTTTTTATTTTTTATTGGTCTAATAATCGAAAGTGCATGATTCATATTGGCTCTGGGGTTGGCTCCACCCATTGTGCAAAATTAGATCCAATTAAAGTAAGATAACTCACTAAACGCTGATTTGTTATAAAAATTCGATTCAAAAATCAATAATTATTCACGATTTTTTAAATGGGTGGAGTTACTTATCGTTGCTAGGCTTTTGTCGGATTTTGGCCAATAAGAAATAAAAACCGGTTTGTTCTCACCTTAGTTGTAATTACGTGAATGTGAAATGATTATGATTGGTCCTTGTAAATGACCAATAAATTAACAAATGTGTCCAACCAATCAAATTCAAGATTTTGCAAAAACCTCACCGATTGGTCATAAAAAAAACTGTTTTAATTCAATTCGCATTGCTTTGAGAAAGACGCAAAAATAATGAATTTACATTAATTTTTCAAATCAGCCATGAAAAAATAATGTTAGATAAGTGGATTCCAAAAAAATTACAGATTAAAGATTTTATATGACTTTAAAAAATTGGTTTGATTTTCTTGAGAATGTGAGCCACATTGTGGCGAAATATCAACAATTGTCGGAAGTGTCACATTGAATGATTGAAATCCAACGCACTCTTAGTGTTGTTTTTCTTTAAAACGTTAATTTAGGCACTTTTGACTTTTTTCTCTATGAAACTCTACTACTTCGTAGAATTATGATTGAATTTTTATTTCTTACCTTCACTCTATCTCCACCTTTTGCCCTTTTCTACTTTTAGTGCTTCCAAATTTTCCAACAATTTCCAGGAAAAAACAATTGCTATCGCGTGACAAAGATGGTTAAATTGACGTTTTACACGGGTGTGAGAGCGTTCAAGCTATTACGTTTTAGTAAAGTATAATAATAACAAGACATTTTCAAAAAAGTTATAATAGAAATTAAAATTTAGATGACTTTCTTAGTGTTTTCTCCAGAACGGTGTGAAATATTTCTGTACTTTCTGTAATTGGATTTTGCTTTCGTGAAACAAATTTAGACTTAACCTGTTTATGCACTTACCGATTTAATTTTATCTCGAAGTTGGCATTAACAAAACTCACTTAATAATTCTTGACAGCCCGAAAGAATTTTTGTTTTGCAAAAATTTCATTGAAACTAAAAGCAATTCCTTGTGATTTCCGGCACAATTATCTGTGATCTTTTCAAAACTAAACTCATTTTGTTCTTCGAAAACTGTCTAACTTTTATTTGACTACTTTACGCCAATGATGGAATTACTTTTTGTTTTATGTCTTTGAATTGAAGTTTTACCAATTCAAACATACAGGGTGTCCCAGAACTCCGTATTTCTTCGATTACTTTGACTGTAAAGAAGGTAACGAAATGCGGTTTCTTTTAGACGATAGAGATTTATTTTTTCTATGGTCCAAAAATATTTTCGTCATTATAGGTAATTCCTATATAGGGTGGCGCAACAAAGTTATGTTTTTTCTTATGGAACACCCGGTATATTATGCGCCTATTTGAAAGAGTTTTTAATTCTAAGAGTATCCATATTAGGTTTTATGGGTCTATCATGGACCGTTTATTATTTATGGGCAATTTTATGACTAGAAAAAGCATAAGACTCACTACTGCTTCTCTCTCAGCATTAATCATCAGCGACGTCAAAACCATATCCGTTTTTCGATTAACAAGATCAGCAATGAGACCGTTCCACTTTCCATTTTCGTTCGTTCCCCATCTCCCATCTTCAACACGGACGAGTTCGTAGGTGAAACCCAACTCTTCTGAGAATTTTTGCAAAAGGTCGATGCAAAATCCCGAACAGCATTGATAGAAACTACCATTGCGGTGGGCCAGTGTCGTGTCGACCCTTAAACGAAACAAAAACATAAAAATTAATCGTGTGGTTTGCAAGTGAGCACTTGCACGAATGAGCAAGAATATAAATGCTACACGTTTAAAGTTTCACTTTGAAAAAACTGAAAATTCTTCTTGCTACTTACTCGGTGATGTCTGCGTCGCTGGCCACTCTGCACAACACCCCTCTATCCATTGAACACTTTCCTGTAACTGGATCAGGAGGTGCTAGGCTTATATAGGGTGGTTCTTCCAAAAAAGTGATTTTTAGATGAAACTTTTCAGGAACTCCTTGTGGTGGTGTGTGACTGTTTCCAGGCCACACGATGTCTTTAATATCGAGTCCTTCTTTCTGCCAGGATTTCCACACTCCAATCTGGAATGAGAGTTAATTGTCTAATAAAACTTTTAGTATTTATTCTACAGAGTGGTTATAAATGATTTTCATCTAGCCAGCTATGGAATTTTTTTGCATGTAATTTTATTTGTGCCGCTCTAATTTTTTGAAAGCTCTAGTTCTGTCATTAGTGTCACTTATTAATTAATAATAAATTGTCGTTAATTAAACTTTTATTGTTTCAACTAATTTCCAATAATAATTGATAATAATGTTTACTTTGGAAGAAAACAAGTTTATAATGGAAGTCTATTTTCGAAGTGGATGATTTTTTAATTTTGACTTAAAACAAGTAGGTACCCCTATTTTCGTAAAGCGGCGTTTTTTATTTTACATGGGAAATTTACAGCCGGTTAGATGAAAATCATTTATAATCACTCTGTATTTACATCATGTCCAATCGAGAAATTGATGTAAATGGAAACGTCATGCAAATGTAATGGGATGGCTCTCGTTCTCCCAAAACAAAATGTACTTAGTGTGACACAAATTTTGAAAGAGGTTACTATTAAAAATGCATGGAAACAGAAAAGAGGAAATAATTAAGTGTGATTTCGACCAGGAAAAGAGCTTCAAACATGAAAATTTATTTTCTCAAGAAAATTTGTTTGAAATTCGACAGAGTCGAATAAAAGTCAAATGTAAATATAATATTTTATTTATATGCCATTTGCATCTTTGTATTATTTATTTTATTGATCGTAAAAAATAATAAAATATGAAACAAACCTCGTCGATTTGCTTTTGACAGAATGATTATTATTTTATCCACAAAGCTCACAAAAGTGACTACTTTTCAGACTAGTGATAGTCATGGAGTAAAAATTCTGTTTTTATGCCCAAGCGTTTTAACTTTTACCATGACATTTACTCACCAATGTCATCTCTCTATTCGTGTATTTAAAATTTTGCACTACCAACTGCACTAGTCATGCTCTAGTTAATTTTATAATCACTTCTTGACTATTTTGTTCATTTATTTGCTAATAGTATTGCTATTTTTTGTAGGTAAGAATTTTAAAACATACAACGTACAAAAAGCGTAGAAAAGATTGTCCTCTTAATAAATCGCCCGGACCCAATAATAAATAATAACAATAATAAATCTTTTTAGTTACCGATTTTTCAATTGAGTAAATAACAAATTATTCACAACTTATTTATACCGCAACTAAAAATTAAATTAAAAAATAATTTTAATTAATGTTGAATTAGTTATTTATTTACTAATAAGATAACAAGTAAATGAGTTTTAAATGACATAATTAAATAAACAATATTATTATTAGTAATACCTAAAAACCATCTATTATTAAGAATGACGAAATCTAACCAGAGAAAATTTAACATAATTTTTTAAATCATTTTTATTCAATCTAAACACACTTTTACACAAACACATCTATTTTCTAAATATTTGCCAATTTAATTTTACTATAGTAAACAGAAAAAAAAGAGTAGATTATTTATTATGTATTAGGAATTTTTTTCTTACTATAACAGTGTTTGTTTTATTAGTATTAAAAATTGATTTGGAAATATTATTGTATTAGAGTCAGAAGTATTTTTTGGTAATAATTTGTTTATTAATTACTAAAACGTGATAGCTCCAACGCTCTCAACCCGTGTAAAAAATAATAAACTATCTCTCTCGCGAAAAATGGCAATTGTCTTTGGAGAGGGGGGCCACGGGGGCCACTATAGCAAAAAATATGAAACTTAAGACAATAAACGATGATTAAAAATGAAAATTCGATCCAATCTTTATTGCAACGAACGGGTGACTTTCATTAATTCATATTATTTGGGCTACAAATCCATAAAAATGTAAATTAAAAAAAAATGCACCAAAACTGCGTTGAATTTCAATCATTCACACTTTTTCATACTCTTTAAAAAAATCAAACGAAAACGATGGAAAAACGAAAGTATACTGGTCGACTTAAAATAGTTATAGGTAGTGATTTGTGAAGTGTTGTTTAAGACCTTAAGAGCCCAATATAAAAGAAATTTGACCAAGGAATGTGTAATTTAAATTATTTTTTTAATTTGAGGTTATGACATGAATTTATTATATCAATGGACCCACTGAACTAACAAAAGATAGATTTCCAGTTTATTAGCAGAAAAATTGTGAAATCAGATAATATGAGGTTTAAAAGGGGGCGAAATAAATTTAAATAATGAATAAATATAAATTTTTACAGAATCCGATAGTGTGAGTTTTTATTAATTGTTAGAAGAAGGTTTAGAAGACGGCGAGCGGCAAAGCCGCAATCCCCCTTTATAAATTTTGATAAAATCTGGTAATGTCAGGTTTAGAAGGGGGCGAGCGGC